TATATATATATATATATATATATATGTGAGAAAGATGTTTATCTTCAGAAGGATAGGAAGAACAGAGTCTTTTGTTTGTTTCACCGTAGACCGCACCCTAAACTCCTCGCTGGCATCATACTCCGTCGATTATCTGCCGCACGTGAATAGTGCACGCGTGAGAACCAGGTTGGTCTTGGACCAGCTCGAGGTTGTATCGACTCCATCTTCACTCTGCCAAATTCTGGAGCACCGACATTGTTTTCATAGACTCGCCATCTCTGTTTTCCTCGATTGGAAAGCGGCTTTCGACTCAGTCGACCGCTGTAAACTCTGGCGCTGTCTTTCTCTGAAGGGTGTGCGCGAGAAATTAATTCTAATATTACAATCCCTCTACAATAATAGCCGAAGCCGAGTTCGAGCTTACGGCACTTTTTCACCCAAGTTCACCACGCAGTGGTGTTCGTCAGAGTTGCTCTCTCTCCCTTTCTATTTGACTTTGTTATAGATTTGATTATGGAAACAGCCCTATCCTAGTGCGAGAGAACTGGCATCGTTTTACTCCCAGGTGGCAGACTGTCTGATCTAGAGTATGCAGACGACATTGTGCTACTAAGTGAAGATCCAGGTAAGTTGCAAGCTTTTCTGGATAGTTTGAGTGCTAGTGTTGCCATGTTCGGTATGCGTTTTGCACCTTCAAGTGTAAAATGTTGTTCATTTTTTTAGCATTTATTCGACACGTAACCAATTACAGAGAACTGGCGAATGTGCCACAACATATGAACAAAAAAATCTGAAGAGTGTGTTCATAGGTTGTGTGGGCATGTTACTTACCGGTTGCCCTGACCGAGGTAGGGGGATAACCTCGGGGTCTCCACCCGAAGCCGTTGGCTAGAAATCCAGACCTGGAAGACAGCAGGACGGAACTCAGAGTCCGTAGTCCATTCGGAGTCGGTGTCCAGTTAATTTGATCATACACCCCTTGGACAGGGTCAGACGTCCAAGGTGCCCGATACACCTTGATGCCCAATTGAGCCGGTGACCTTTGTCATGACCAGGAGAGTGTGCGTGTGGCTCGTACGCCTCTTCTCGGTTGGTTTGGGATCAGGGTTTCTAGCCAACTCCCTTAGGTGAACTACCAATGGTTCACCAACCCGGTTATAGCCTCGGATGTCGGCTTTTCGTCCTTTCACTTTGGTGGGAAACAAAGGCATTGAGTAGGAGTTCCTCAGCAGAAGCTATTTGAGATGCTTGGTCATATAGGAGCATTTTGCGGTGTAAGTAAATGGTGACCAGTCACAATCCCAGACACCCATTTCGATCATACTGAAGCTTTCGCAAGCTACAAGACTGGGTTGTTTCAGTACCCAGCCTCACTCTAACCGGGGAAGTAATAGAGCAAGTGGATGAGTTTTGTTATTTGGGCATTTCACCCGGTGGACGCATCACGGATGAAGTGTCAGTTCGCATATAGAAAGCTCGGTTGGCATTTGCTAACTCGAGGCATCTATGGCACCGTCGCGACACAGGCAGCTTTGCTGTCATCCGGTTCAGTAACGCGTCTAACATAGCGGGGCCTTACGTGGTTCGCCACTTCAAATCTCGTGGCTTAGGTTACCGATTTCCATAACTGAATATCAGGTCCTCGTGACTATGGGGTTCGTCCCGTCTGCTGTTCATCACACTTAAGTGTGTTATAAAAAGAGACATCCGGTTGTCTGTGAAGGGTCGAGTGTATGCTGCAGCAGTTCGGCCAGTCCTGCTATACGGTGCAGAAACTTGGCCATTAAGGAGGCCGCTGTCTACGCAACGTCGCACGAATCTGGTGGGGCAGCCGGACGAGCACTGCTAAGGTTAGGCGCAGAGTTTTAGGTAACCGCGTTCGCCCACTGGAGCAAGTAGTCGACCTCCATAGATTACGTTGGTTGGGGCATGTGATTCGCATGTCACCAGGTAGGTTGCCACGGCGCGCGCTGTTTGTCGAGACAGGTAGTGAGTGGAAAAAGTGAAGGGTGGTCAGGCTAAGACCTGGCACGAGGGTATGCAAACCCTGACCAAGGGACTGGGTCACATAGGTCCCGTTAGGCTCCCTGGATGATCGTAATCGGTTGTTAGAGACATTGGGTGATAGGGCTGGGTGTCGTAAACAGTGGCGTTCGTGCATCTTCTCTGTTCCTTTGCTACCTTAGACCACTGAAATTCTTTGTTTTCTGGTCGACTCTACTTACAACCTTCCTTTCTTCTCCTATTCTTCATCCAAATGGGCAACCAAAAAACAGCAACCAAAACAGCCGTTAAGGGCATGGTTAACGGTTATACAAACTAAACTTCACTGTACACCTTTTATATTCGTTTGTGTGTACGGTGAAAGAAACGTTTTTGTTCTTGTTCTTATTGTTCTCTGTCATTGTTCTCCTCTGTACCCCGATCAAAACCTTTTATATGGCTGTTGTTGTTGCTTTTGCACTATATTTGTTCGTTTTTAAACTTTAGTCCACTAAAATTCTCCATTTTCTCTTGGATTCTACTCTCAACTTGCTGTTTTTCTCCTTCTACTTCATCCAAATGGGCAGCCAAAAGGGGTCGTGGTGACGCGGTGGCTTAGTCGCTGCCCGTGAATCTATGGTCTGAGGTGCGAATCTCACCACCGTCATCCAACTTTGGTGGTAGGTAGCTTTGCTCTCGTTCAGTTCAGTACCACGCTTGACCCAACGGGGCCTTATCTGGTTCGCCACTCCAAGTCCTTGGGCTTAGGTTACCGGTTTCCATGACTGAATAGCAGGTCTTCGCGACCATGGGTTCAACCCCGCCTGCCGTTCATCACATAAATGTGTAATAAAAATACCGGCGCACGAAAGTGGATGGTTCATGGTTGTACAAACTGAACTGAACTATATTAGTGTTAATAGTAATAATAATAAATTGTGTTCTCCAATATCAATCTTTTTTCGTTTGATTTTGTTCATTGCAACATCATTTGTCTATTTACCTTTTTCTCTTTCTCTCTATCTCTCTGGACTGTGCTTCAATCCCCACCACATACTACAGTTTTTATTTGAGTAAACATAACGGTCGTAAAATCAGTCTACAGACCAATATGGGTTATGCGGAACTGTCCGCCTTGTTCTTCGGACGCGTATCCAGTACGGATGGCTCATCCGCGACGGGTGTTATGAATGGGACTGGGACCACATCATCTACGGACCCTTCGAACCCCGCATTCCTACTTCGCGGCTCTAGTTCAGGCTCCTCTGGTCCAGGAACCAGTCAAGGGAGTCAAGCGATGCTGGTCAGCGGTTTACCAGGAAGTCCGGGCGCTCCAGCCACATTGGATCCAAACGGGATTGGAGCGTTTGGGTCAGGACGAAGCGCAGTGCGGAAATATTTCCTACAGGTCAGCAACATTTTATCCTCTTACTTGTCTCCATCTTGAAGTCATATATACGCTTATATACATCGCTTTGGTCTGATAACGGGTTCTAGTTTCGCTCCTCGTGCACAAACTGCATATGTATCAGAGCATGGTGGGTAGCTTCTTGATACTTCCTGTGTCAAACACTGGAAACCACTGCTCATATAGGACTCATGTTGAATTTTCGCTTTCGCTTTCTGAAACTCACTGAAAAATAGACCTGTAACTTGATCACTTTGAACCTGATAACCTGACGAATGATTGTGCTGCGGTTTTCAGAATCCCCTCCAAATCTCTTGGGGAACGTAACTTACGGCTTCCAATGAAAAATGTGAGACATACTCAAATTTATGTTCTGGGACGATGTGCAAGAAGTTGGTATCATGATCCTCAGTTGTTGATGATGCCAACGTTGATGTAAGTAAACACTTCCTCTATAGAATTCCCTGTTAGAGTGGTTTTGGGAGTTGGACCAGCTCAATCCTGTAACTACGTCGTACAATCTAAATGTGCAAAGATATGCCTAATACAGCTTCATTTACTCAACAATACTGAATTAGTTTCTTACTTTACGACCTAATTCCTGTGAGGACATGAAACCGCGGTCCTCGCACGAGGACAGGAGCATTTCAAAATCTCATCTGCGATAAGGGTGAAGAAAAGGGAATGAGATCAATCTGGTGAACGCCATTTTCTGATGTGAACTCAGACAGAAGGAGTAGCAAGCTCGAACGCGGCTTCTCTTTTTCATACCCATCGATCACAATAGATCAATAAACTTCTCCGGCGCACTGTTCAAGCAAAGGCCGTGTTCGGGTACGATGTGGCCAACTGACTCGGACCTATTTTCGATCAAATCTGTGTGAACTAAAAATGATTCTTATGACTCCGAGCCCGACGTGCTACCACATGGTTATCCAGAATGGTACTATATACAGTCTTATCCTGTCCATCTAGAGCCCGTCTAATTAGTTGTTCATGTGTTTCACAAAGAAGTACCGGGACAACGAGAGTCATTTATTCGAAGAACAGTATCGGATAGGGCTAATTAGGGTTTCATAGAATGAAACATCTAATTTGACACAGTTGGTTAGTATTTTCGTGGTCTTCTCTCCCTCGGTGATTGTCAATCTTACAGTCTGTTTGCTCTTCTGTAGTTGCACAAATAAATCCTTTAGTCCACGCACAGATTCCTTGGGAATCCACTAACCGCTTTTTGGTTAGTGTAAACTACTCATAAGTGTGAGTAGCACATCACTACACTTCTCCCCGCGGTGAAAAGGATTTCTGCATGTGTTGGCCAATAACCGAGTGGTTCTTGGATTGTAAACTTGTTTGTCCCTGGTTATCGACGTCGGATAGCGCCGTGCTTTTATTTTGTATTGGGACTGTGGGGTTTCTTTCTTTCGTTTAGATCGTGTGCTGGTCGTTTCCTCGTGCCATGTTGCGAGATTATTCCGATGCACACTCCGGACCTCTTTCATCCGTTGTATTTTGTTTTTGTTTGGCGTTATTCAACTGTGGTATGGAATTTTCCATTTGCGGAGCAACTTCCTCGAACCAGGGCCGCTGGCGGATCCCCTGATATACCGCTTATGCTTCACTTTAGACCCAACCGGGTGCATGATTGCCGTCCGTCTAGTTTGTATCTTGGACTTGCGCATTTACTCTTCGTGTAACTTCCTCTGGTTTTTCCGGGTCTCACATCTTGCTTCTTGAAGTTGTTGAAGAGACATCTTTTCGCGGTCACATGCCAACGTTGATATGCACTGTGAATTTGGAATTCTCCCATACATTAGTTAAGCTGGTGTATATTTGGTCCTGGCCGTCGCGGACGAACGGTATGCTAAAAGTAGTGGGGTTAACGCCAATTCCCAGTCACCTGTCGCTGCCAATCATTCTTTGATTGTTCTGTTATTTAGTTCTGTAAGACTGTTGGTTTGCGGGTGACAGGGTTTTTGCGTANNTTTGCGTATCCTTTTGATGCCCAGTTTCTGTAAGCATATGCGAAGTCCGTCACTTTCAAAGCATGGGCATTGATCCGGAAGGGAGGCTTTTAGCACGCCGTGATTTGTTGCGGTATGCTCCATCACAACCCTGTTTATCGTAGTGGCTTTTTGATCCTCGACTTCTACTCCTCGATCCAGCGCGTGGAGTGCTTCGTCGTCACCCCGATGTCCTCTGGGAGACATCGAAATTGAACCCATGAGATCAATGGACCATACCTTATCAGTCGCTGATACTGAATTGAACGTTGTTATTAGC